CTCTTCTAACCTCCACGGGCACCAGGTACCCATGTGGTGCACATACATATATGCAGGCAAAACACTCATACATGTTAAATAAATCACTCAAAAAAAAAGATAACAAAAATAACAGTATTGACAGCAATTTTTAGATTGGTGTTTGCCATGCATGGTTAAGATCTTGCCAATATATCATCCCTTAAACTCACATAGCAGGTATGCTAGGGCTAACTTACCAGGCCTGGAAGGATCAAAAAGGAAAAAAAAAATGGATTCAATGACAAAAGTTAATATTATTAATATAAATTATCCCAGATATTTTTCAAGATCCCACAAAATCACATTTTATAGAAAATCCTCAATGTCCACTTTCATAGAAACAGGAGTTTCACTAAACACCAACATTAACATAATTCAGGGCTGGGAGATCACTCCTCAAGTAGGTAAAGTCTGATCGCCTAAGTTTGGTCCCTGTACACAGCGTGAAGATCAGAACCAGCTCCCAAAAGTTGTCCTCTGACTTCTGGGCCATGGCACACACACAGGCATGTATATGTGAGAGCACGCACGCACGCACGCGTGCACACACACACAGGTGGGGAGTGAGGAGAAAGAGAATACGAAATAAAGACTATTACACACTTTAAAGGCTTTGAGCCTCTCTCATCAAGAAGAATCTATTTCTTACACCGAGAATTGGGTACTAACTACCACTGTGACTTGCTTTGGAAAGTGACTAATTGCCAGTGCTGAGCTTAGAACTCAAGAATCTCAGAATCGCTCTTAGAATCCAACCCTGTTGTTATGGCACAGGACTAAAGAAGGGAGGCCAGGTGGACGGAGGCCTCAGACGAGACCTGCTGAGGTCCCAGACCGAGCACAGGTCGGTCAGGTCCACAATTAACTGAACAAACTGTTGTTTTTAGTTATTTGATTTTGGGGAAGTTTGTTATGAAGCAAAAATAGATGCAGAAGGAGAAGGCAAAAACTAGATATTTTTTTTTTTTTTGAGGCAGGGTTCTGCTGTGTAGCTCAGGCTAACCACAAACTAGGAATGCCGCTGTCTCAGTCTAAGACAGAGTCACAGGCATGCACCACCATACCTCACTAAAGCTTTGCTTCTATCGTTTGGTGTGTGCTTACACATGCGCATACACCTGTGCTGTATGCATGCGTGCGCGCGCACACCTGCGCTGTGCGTGTGGACGCTAGAGGTCAATGTTTGCGTGGGCGTCGGGTTTCTTTTCTTGGTTGCTTTCCACCTTTGTTTTTGAGACAGGAACTCACACTGAAGCTGCAGTTCATGGATTTGGCTAGGCTGCCTGACCAATGTGCTTCAAAGATCTGCATACTCCTCTCCCCCACTGCTCCACCCCCATCCTGGGTGTGTAAAAGCACACCTACAAGTCTGACTTTCTTATGTGGGTGCTGGAGATCCACACTCAGGTCCTCATGCTTACATGACACGTTCTCCTAGACCCTGAAGCTGTATTTTTTCCTCCTCCGGCTGATCTATGTAAGTTTTGGTTGTCCTAGCACTCACTATGTAGACCAGGCTGGCCTCCAACTCACAGAAATCCACCTGCCTCTGCCTCCCAAGTGCTGAGATTAAAGGAGTATACCTCTACTCTCAGCTTAAAGCTGTAATTTTAAATCTACACAATGCTTTGGCCTCTTTTTCTCTCCCCCACCCAGGGGATCCATCTGTCTTTTTTTTTTTTTAAACTCAGGGCCTTCCATACGCGAGGCAGACACTCTACTATTGAGTTATATCCTGAACCCTAAGGCCCTTTTCTGCACCCCGATAGTCACCTCTGACACTTCCTGCTGGACAGGGTTTAAAGAGTACCATTTTAGACAAATAGATTTCCTCTTTTAACAAATACGTTTTTTATTCTGAGAGAAAATCATGATGTATAAAAATTAATAAAAATAAATAAACAACACGAGTAATCCATAAGCGGTGTTCACATTTATATTTTTTTCTTTTGTACTATTTTCTACTATGTACTATTAGATATAATATATAAACATACAAATATTCCACTTTTTCTCCTCATATGATTCTTGCTTATATATTCTTAGTTATCAAAATTATTACAAGCATAACTTCTTATTTTGTTTTTTAAAGCATAACTTCTAAGAGGTATAACCGTCCACCATGAAATCATGTCATCACCAGACCGCCTTTCACTGGTAAACATTTACGCAGTTCCAGTTAGCAAAGACTTGAGCACCTGATTATCTTTGCTTGTATCCCTAAGTAGAACACCAGGAAGAGAGACTTACTGGGTTAAACAAAGTGAATATTTTACTCTTTGTGGCATATAAAAACCATAAATGGGGTTAGAGAGATGGCTCAGTGTTAAGAGCACTGGCTGCTCTTCCAGAGGACCTGAGTTTAATTCCCAGCACCCACACGGCAGCACGCAACTGTCTGTAGTTCCAGCTCCAGGGAATCTGATACCCTCACACAGACCTATAGGTAGGCAAAACACCAACGCATATAAAGTAAAAATAAATAAATCATTTAAAAAATGTAATCCAACCATCTAGAAAGAATGGCTATACAAAGTATTTATTTATACACTTGACATTGAAGCCATTAAGGACACAATGTCTGTTTGACTGGGAGGTCGGCAGAAGTGAGCAACTACTGGGTAGCATGTGAAACTCAGAAGCCATGAAAGTGTGACTCTGGGAAACCCATTCCTTCCAGGGTCTGCAGCTTACAGCTCATGGCTGGATTGCTTTAAAACCCCTCTGGATCTTCAGCTGCATTCTTTAAATGGCAGAGCCCAAGTGCAGCTCAGGGGCTCTTTGCTCTCCGCCTATTTTCCCAGCACCTTCTCACGGGGGCTCCTTCTCCCTCCAGCGGGAGACCTGCCAGGCACTGAGGAACCGATGTTCCCAAGGCCAGTACATCTGATGTTTGCTCTTGGCTGGAATTCAGAGCAGGGAAAAGTAAACTCCAACTGGGCCAAGGTGAGTCTGTCTCGAGACCGCCCTTTGGCTGAGTGGATAAGGTGTGAGAAGCTGAGCCAAGTATGGTGGGGAAGGACTTCATGAACGTGATGAATAGTAAAATCCTGAGGTGAATGGCAGACTCAGGAGATCTCAGATCGGGCCTGAAGGAGGCCAGTCAGACCTAAACCTCCACAGTGTACATTTAGATAAAAGACAAAGTTAGAATCCACTGGGGCATTTGCTATACGCCAGGAACCTTTTCCATATTTTCACTTTTCAAAATGAACTAGCCACGGGAAACAAGGCTTTGCTTAAGGTTACAAGGCTATTTAATTAAAGTTGGGACTGAAATTGAATGCTTTTCGGTTTCTGGGAACTGAGACAGATTCATCCGGTCGATCGCCAAACTTGGACTCTCTCCAAACACTTTGCCTCCTGTGAATTCCTAGAACTTGGGCCTGGTTACTCATCTCTCTGGTTTCAGCTTCTTCTGTGAAGCCAGCCCACTACCCACCTTGCAGGATCCAGTCAGAGAACTCGCAAAGGGACTAGTGTCCTCCCTGGCCTACAGGAGGACCTGCTCATAGCCAGTTGGGACATGCACCATTTTTGCTCCTGTCACTTCTTCCTAAGGAGGAAACCCATCCAGGTCTCCATCTCAAGGGTGTCTGGAATGAATTCCCTCTCACCCTAACCATGCCCACCATGACTAGTAAGTTCTGCCTTGACATGCTGGCTGCCCGTTCCTGCCACAGAATGACGTCTGGGAACAATCTGCTGGGAACACTAGCAAGAAAGCTCAATGCTCAACTTTTTTCTGGAACCTCGATAAACCCAGTCCTCAGCCAGAGGAAGGGTGAGGTGATGGTGGCTTAGATATGGCTCAGGCCTGGCAGAGGAGTAACTATACAATGTGTCCAATATCCAGGTGCCAGCTTACCCTGCCTTACTGGGAAACTATCCAGGGAGCTGCAAGGTCCTTCTTGGCTCACCTTGCTGGCCCACCCCAGGTTCCTTTCAGGGGCTGACTGAGCACACCTACTGAAATCACTCTAGTCTGGTGTTTCCTTTAAAGGCTGTGGACTGAGCACAGCCACCTCAAATGGGACCATGGAGGACTAGCCAAGCCAACCGGAGCCGCTTCCCAGCCTGCCTGGGAAACATGTCATTTTCTATTTGCAGCATCGCGGATGTTGACTTTTGATCTCTTTCTTTCTCCCTCGGGGCCTCAAATCAGTGGTGATGGCAATTTCGTTTCTTTTTTACTTTTCCCTATAAAGAGAAAATGTCAGGAGGCAAGAAGGTTTTGAAAAAACGGGAAGAGTTTCAGACCTGAAAGAAGTCACTCAGCAGTGAGAGCCCGTGGCAGTCACGTGATCACACAGTGGCTGGGTTAGGCGGTTTCCGAGGTAACACTTCTTAACCTTTAGGGTGTTTGTAAATCACCCAGGGTGATCTTTAAAAAAAATGACCAATTTATTATAAAACACACACACATACATACATCTATATGGACTAGTTGTATCTAGAACTTTGTAATAAATTATATATATGTGCCCCAAAGACAGCATGCTATCGGACCCTGCCCCATCCTCCAGTGGTTACAATCGTCCCAACCTGTTTTCTGTCTTCCCGTCACCCAGGGATCTTGTGATCATGCAACCCAGACTAATGAGTCCCAGCACGAGGACCACACAGCTCCTCTGGGTCACACTTGGAGGACGGGGGTCTTCCTTGTCTTGGCCTCACCTGGTCTTATAGCAGTGGGGCCTCTCAGTTGTCCCTACCCTCATCACACAGCTGGGTATTTACAGGTGAGGCACTGGCCAAATAATCAACAGACACTGTAATCTAATTAAAGCTAACACTTAGATTTGTATCCCTCCTGTTCCATTCAAACAGAGATTTTCTGATACATATACACTCCAAAGGAGGCACTGGATAACAGTGCCTTCAAGTGATGAGCTCTTTCTGAACTCTTGGATAATTTCTTTCTTTAATTATAATTTTTGAGATCATAATATAGTTATGTCCAGTCTATAGAATGTTACTTGTATGTATGTTTTCAAGGTTGACCATTTAGTATCGAGTGACCAGTTGGTGTGTTCTTCCCTGGAGAACACTATTTCTCCAGTTTTCATCACCCCTAGTTGCCTGTAGATCTTTATCTGATGTTGAGAGCTCATGGCCTTTCCCCCTTTCACACTGACATATCTGTTAAGTCTGGCTCAACAAGTGAGAAATGAAGGCTGGTACTGGATACCTAGCCAGCTACCTGGAGCTAGTGGAGCTATGTTGGAAAAGAACCTACAACCACCATTTACTAAACCAGTGTAATTCCTGAGTACACTCTTAAATATTTATCCTCACACCCCCAGATAAGTGTTGTTCTTAACCCGCATCAAGGAAATGTCTCTTTGTAACAGACAGAGACTGGTACAGACAAGCCCGGCTCATCACAACAGAGCTGTGAAGCCCAGGCCCAATCCGTAAGTCTACAAAACATTTCTGGACCTAAGGCTCAGGTAACATTGTAGAAAAGATTGTACAAGCCGGAGGATCACGGACTTTGCTGTGAGACTGTATCTCCTAAAAACGTCAGAGAAGCTACACCCATGAACTCTCCCCAGTATGGCTGCCGAAGTGTGCACGACCAAGGATGACACCAACAGATGTTACCCGGGTGACTTCTAGGAATCATGAGGCACGCTAAACCCGCTCTGCCAGGAGTCCCTACAGAAAACCCACAGGATCCAGTGAGTTTCATCTGTTCCTCCCCCATCCCTGCTTCTTTGGAGACTCTCCAGCTTCCAGCTCCTGGCCAGTGTTCCCAGCACCTCCCTCATCGTCTGAAGTCCTAGCCCGTGCAGACTCACCTGCCCCCAAGGACCTTGCATTTGTTCTGATTCTTGTCGCTTTGACAAAATGCCAGACAAAGCAGCTTAAAGAAGAGTTTGTTTGGGCTCCAACTCAGGTGTAGTTAGAAAGGTTTGAGGAGGCTGGTCACATGGTACCCACAGTCAGGAAGCAGAAACAAAAGAACGCTGGTGCTCAGCCCACTTTCTCCTTTTCATATCAGCCCCACAGAACAGTGCCATTTGCATTTAGGGCTCATCTTCCCACCTCTATTAATTTAACCTGGAATGCCTCCACCACTACCGCCGCACACACACAGACATGCCCAGAAGTTTGACTCTTAGGTGGTCTAGATACTAGCAAGTTGACAGTCAAGATTAGCCTTTGCAGATGCAGACATGCTTCTGAGCCTTTTGTGCTCACAAAACCCTGAATAGAAACAAATGTTACCAAGGCTTCCTCTAGGTCTCTGTTCTGTGACACTCCAAACACCAGGTATCTGTTGACAGAACTGACACACCCCGTGGGAGTGGCTGAGAGCCACTGGCAAACACTTGATTGGAAGATGGGAATCTGCTGTTCCCAAAGAGACACCAATCAGGAAGAAATGTTTCTTTTAATTTTTAAAAGTTTATTGTTTGAGAACTTCACACAGTATATGTCTATTTATTATGCAGACAGTGTTCTGTCTGCATGTATGCCTGCACACCAGAATTGGGTGCCGGATCTCAATATAGATAGTTGTGAGCCTCCGTGTGGTTGCTGGGAATTAAACTCAGGACCTCTCGAAGGGCAGCCAGTCCTTTCAACCTCTGAGCCATCTCTATAGCCCCACACAATGTATTTTAACATATTCTTTCCCATTCTCCAATATCTTCAGAGAAAATATCTCAATAAATGCAAAATCAGACAGTCCTCGACCTAAATTCACTCGCAGGAGAGTGAAGTAAATAGGTTTGGGCCCCTTGATGTCACATTCCAGCCCTGCAGGTGTGGTGTGTCCCGCCTTCCTAAGGATGCAAGGGGAGGTGGGGCTTGAGTATTGGAGCAATGGATACCTCTTATCAACCTTAAGGAATCCCCAGTGCCCCTGACTTGCCTTTAATTACCTTCCAATTCTGAGGATGTTTGAAACATTTGGACAGAATTCAGCCCTCAGGCAAGTAAAGTGGGAGCAGCACAGCCTCATAAAACCCTGAATATCAGCCAGTGTTAGTGGACCTGCTCCTTGGTCTCTGCTCCGTGACGCTCCAAATACGCCTCCTCTTCACGTCCCCAAAAGGTAAATAGGATTATATCCATTTTACAATTTTGAAAATAGAAGCCGAGAGATTAGCCCAACACAATACAGAAGACACGGGGTTGGAAATGGGGTCTCCTGACGTTTAGTCTGGAGCTCCTAGCGTGATTTGTATTCTGTTCAGATACAGAACTGGCGCAACAGTGCTCAGATTGCTATTATTCAAGAAGCACAATGATCTTCAAAGGGATTTGGTGACTAGACTGCTGTTTGAGCAATGCCCAGGCGTTACCAGCAGGGGGCAGGAGCCTGCCACTCCAGAGGTTTACATCCTAGAAAACCCTGGGTTGGAGTAGCGGTGAGGGCGCTGAGACCTTTCTTGCCCCTTCACGTGGAAGAAGCCAAGGTGAGATGCAGGATCCCTTGGTGGGAGGATGTGCCTCCAAGGCGTAGAGACCACGCGAGACCCTCGAACACTCCTGGAATTTGAACAGAAACAAGGCAGCCTTCCAGGCCTCCACCTGTCCTTTTCTAACCGGGGACCATTTCCCTCTACACAGGCTTCTGTATCCAGGAAGAGGGCATCGCCCCTTCTGCCTGTGGGAGTATGGGAGCACTCAGAGGAAAATCCCTTTGCAGATGTGTGCATGATGGTCCTTCGAGGTGAGTTCACAGGTATTTAGTAGGCAGCATCTCTCACTAGGGCGCGAGCTGGTTCGTACAGACATGGATGGTATCGAGGCCAGGGGAGTGGGAAAAGAAAGAAGGAAATGTCACTGCTTCTATCTGGCTGGGTCATCTGGGTGTCAGCCTAACATCCCAGTGCAGTCAGCTTCAGATGGGCCGCCTGTCCTCTGGGGTCCTGTTTGAATCTTGCAGGAAGCAACTGGCAGACCTGGGGTTTGGAGACATGTTTAGCTACATTAGCCCTCTGCAGAGTCCTCTACAGCCAAAACGGCTTAGAGCAGCAAGGCCTGCTGTGAGGTTGAGCGCGAGAACCCAGAAACCCCAGAACCCTTAAGCTGTCATTCCCAGTCAATACTCATCTCAGAGTCCAGGGTTTTCCAAGCTGGCCGGCGGACACAGCTTACTGCTGTTCCCCAGGCTCACAGGCCTGCGAAGCTGGTGAAGAGAGAGGCACGGCTTGGATTCTGTTTTAATAAGACAACAGATTCGCATGTGCTATCCAATGGAGCAAAACTCTGTCTCTGGTCTTAAGGCCCTAAAGCCTCACCAGTTTACCCTGGCGTGGGTTTCAGCACGGGTCTCCCACCTCTTTTCAATGCACTCTAAAGTCTCCATCATCAGTTTCACTGTCATTATCAAGATACTCAAAGGTCCTATTTTGGTTTTTGGTTTTTTTCCCTCCCTCCCTTACCTCCTTTTTAAAAATATAAGCCACACACTGTACCTTAGGCTAACCTTGAACCCACGGCAATCTTTTTTCCCCAGCCTTCCAAGCCCTGGGATGACAGGCATGAGCCACCAATGTCTGGCCTAATTTGTCTTTTCAACTGCCCCATATATTTTAGCCCAGTGGTTCTCAACCTCCCTGATGCTATGGCCCTTTCATACAGTTCCTCGTGTTGGGGTGACGCCCAACCATAAGATTATTTTCATTGCTACTTCAGAACTGTAATTTTGCTACTGTTAAGAATCATAATGTAAAAACCTGATATGCAGGAAAACTGATATGCTACCCCCAAAGGGGTCACAGCCCACAGGTTGAGAACCGCTGGTTTAGCATCACGTCCTTGGGTTCTCTGTGTTGTATAGAATATGCTTCTTTTCTAAGCAAATAATGTTCCGGTGGATGGTTACTGTGCAGCACATTTTATTTTTCTGTTCATTGCTTGGTGGCTACTGAGGCTGTTTACACTTCCTGGCCACGGTGACTAGAGCTGCCATGAGTTTTGGTGTGTGACTGTCTCCTCAAGATTCTGCTTTCAGTTCTTTCGTCCGAATTCCCAGATGTGGAACTGCTGGCTCAGTGGTAGTTCTATTCCTAATTATTTTGAGAAGCATCCATACTGTTTTCCATAGCAATCACAGCATTTTGTCTTCCCAGCAACCCAGACGAAGGTCCCCGTCTTTCAGCATCCTTGCCAGCATTGACTATTTCCTGGATACACACACACACACACACACACACACAGACATACACACACACGAGAGGACATTGTAGTTGTAATCTGCACTTGTCTGAAAATGATTGATGTTGAACACCTTTTCATGTGTGTATTAGTCATGTGTGTGTGTGTGTGTGTGCATGCTTGAAAGTTTATGTGTATTCATATGTGTAGATATGTGTTCATGTATGTGTGTGAATGTGCAGGCCAGAGGTCAACCTTGGATGCCATTCCTCAAGAGCCACACACTTTGTTTTTTTGAGATCAGAGCTCTTTATGGGCTTGGGGCTTGCTGGCTCAGCGAAGCTGGCTGGCCTGCGAGCTCCAGGAGCCCTCGTCTCTATTTCCCAGCACTGAGGTTACAAACACACCACCATGTCCACTGTTTACAAGAGTTCAGAAGATGGAACTCGGGGAGGGTCTTCAGGGTAGCATAGCAAACACTTTATGCTCACATCTCTATGTCATATTTTTATTAGTGTGTATTATAGAAAATAATGGGTTTATTATGATGCTTACATGTATGTATATAGTAATCTTTGACCATATTTACCCTCTCCTGTCCCTCTTTCTCCTCCTGTGGATCCCTTCCTCTTTCCAAAGTTCTTTTACTTACTTGTCTATTTTCTTTCCTAGACTCATAAACAAGAGATTACACTGTATTTGTCTTTCGGAGTCTGGTTTATTTTGTTTAACATAATCATCTCTAGATCTTCCTATCTTCCTGCAAATTGCATCATTTTGTTCTTTTTTGTTGAAAAAAATATAAAACATCTCTAAGTTTCAAATTTTCCTATTTTTGAGTCAGGTTATTTAGTCTTTAATTACTGAGTTATAGGAGTTCTTATTCAACATATGAACTCCACAGATCTAATAGTATAAAAATAATTTACAGATATCACCTACCATTCCATATTTTCCTTTTATTCTTCAGATTATGTCCTTTTGTAAACAAAAATTTCTAGTTGGTTGAACTCTCCACTGTGTGGGCTTTGCTTCTTTTTGTTTGTTTGTTTGTTTGTTTTCACCTGTTCTTTTAGTGTCATATCCAAGAACTAGCCAAGTTCAACATTAAGTTTTATTATATTATTATTATTTTACATGTGGTATAAGGTATTGGCTCATCTTCATCAACTGCCCCAACACAGTTTGTTTAAGAGTACACCATTTGCTGGTCTTTATGTTAATGCCACACTGTTTTAATTGCTGTAGGTTTGTAGTATGTTTTGAATTTAGGAAGCGTGTATCCCCTGTGCTTCCTCTTCTTACCAGATTGTTATTTGGGCTACCTCATATTCCTTATTAATTTTGCCTTGAATAGAAAACTATGTCTAGGAAAAGTACTGTTGGAATTTTGTTAGGGGTTACATTGACTATGTAAATCCCATTCAGCAGTATGGGTATCTTAACATTTGGACATTCAACATGAACATGTGGCATATTTTGATTTGCTTTTAAATTTTTTATTTTAGCAACTTTTTTTAGTTTTTGTGAATGTAACTTATATCATCACAGTTAATTATCTTAGAAATATCTAATTCTTTTTGACACGGTAGTAAATGGAGTTGATATTTTAATTTCCTTTTCAGATTTCTCGTTATTAGTGTATAGAAATACTTCTCTGACCATTGAGTTTTTTAATATAATGGAATCCCTAATTCATTTATAAGATTTAATCACATTGATATTGTTACTTCTGACCACTTTGTTGTATGTCACTGTGGTCTTTTGTTCATCTTCATCTTGTTTTAGTGACCTTCTCCCTAGGTGTCTTCCAACAAGGGACATTCACACTTACCTGCAGAATTTTGTTACGGCCTGTACTCAGGGGTAGGAATTCTAGGTGCTGGGATCTGGGGTACACGCAGCCACCTGATGACAGACTGCCAGGAAGGACTGCAGCACAGCGGAAAATGGCTAACGTTTCTCCGCCTTCCGGGTTTGCTGGCTGAGTGGGTGTTCAAAGGCCAGCTATCATTTTTTGATTGCCCACGTCATTGGGCATCTTACACACTTGACAACATTTGAGTCTCCTCCTGCTTATTCAGTCAATTTACCAAGAGTATCTAACATCTCCTCTCTTTTCTATGAGCAAGAGATAAATATATGGCCGAGGTATGCAGCACCTTCTGGTTGCAGGCACAGCCTTCCAAACTATCGTTCAGTTGTATGTAAATTGCACTGAAATAAGTATGCACTGTCGATATAATCAGTTTCATCAGGTTCCTGCCATATGGTTATGCTTTCCCACTCCAGAGCCACAAAGACATTCCATGCTTCCATACTGAGCTTACTTGTCACGGAGGATCAGGAAGTGCTTCTTGTTTCAGCATAAAATGGAACTAGCTAGATCCCGTTACTGATCTTCAAACTCTTTACTGTTTTGGGTGCCACCTCCATTGTCAATGCCAAGCGTCTATACGGAACAGTGGGTCTGGCCTGAACATCTTCGTTTTGTTCCACACTAGTTGCTCAGTCTTACACTAACATCGAATACCTTATAGTCCCATGGCTTTTCCACATACATTATAAAATATGTGTCTTTAGTTCCTAAAATAATTTGGTGAAATTTTAGTTATAAATTAACTTAGAGGAAATTCATATATAAAAAAATGTTAAATCACTGGGACTGGAGAGATGGCTAGTGGTTAAGAGCCATTGAAGCTCTTCCAGAGGACCCAGGTTCAGGACACAGCAGTCGAATCAAATGACTCACAACTGCCTGGAACTACACGTCAAAGTAGCCAACACCTTCTCATCTCCTCAGGCACCCACACTCATGGCACACACATACACACATAAATATAAGTAAAAAATAAGTTCTGAAAATAGCTAAATTACCCCATCAATGAATCTAGTGTCTTATTTTTCTTCTGCCCTTCTTTTGAAAAGCTTTAATAATTTTCTCCTTAAAGGGGCAACACTTCTTGTAAGAATGATCCCAAATGCCTCAGGGTTTGTTTTTGCTTTGCAATTACTATTCTGAAAATATCATTATATTCTTATATGTTCTGTATTTTAATATATCTTCTACTGCTGGCATTGGGGAGTGACATTCATCTTCATAATATAATTGGTATCCAGAAAACTTCTGAACTTTGATTAGATCTAAAATATGTTGATTGAGTCTTGATTGTGTCTGATCAGCTTTTCCTCCTTCCTCCCTATAGCTCCTGCTTGTTATTATTGTCACTATTACTGTTGTTGTTGTTGGTTTGGTTTTATTGCTTTGGTTATGCCTATAACTCCCTTGAACTATGGCAATCATTATAGGGACCTTTGATTTCAGGCATAAGCTGGAATTTCTCCATGTCCTCCACTGGGCATAGACATTCAATCATAGACCTGTCCATTTGAGAAAATAGAAATAGAGGTCTGTGATATTTCCTGAAAAATTAAAGTTTTTAAACTTCGTAAGTTTGAAAAAAAAACTTTTTTGAGGTAATCATAAACTTTTCATCCTTCAGTCCATTAATGGTGAAAATCATGTTTCTTTCTCACATCTAAACTTCCCCTTATTTGTTTGTTTGTTTG